AGCGTTATACTCTGGGCTGTTTGCTGCCAGTGATACTGGTTAACTGCGCAAATTGGATACAATAATGAAGGAGGACTACCTCCAAATTCTTTAACTTCACCTCAAATCAACAACTAGACAATTGAAACTTTTGAAACAATTGCATGTTTCAACAGGACAATGATCCCAAACACATATCAAAACTGGTTTTGAAATGGATAAAGTATGCTAACATTAAGCTTCTGGAATGGCCTCTCAAATCCTCTGAAAATGTTTAGACTATTCTTAAAAGCCAAGTACAATACAATACAAGGAAACCAACCAATTTAAATTAAATCTACAAATTCTGTCAACAAGAATTTCCAAATAACCAAGCCAGAAGCTTGTTCGTGATTACCAAAACGACTACCATCCGGTCAAGGTGTGACTTGCTAAGGGACATTTAACTAAACCTGTATGTATACTTTTTAGCCCATGTGGATTAGAGAAAATCAAAAATAATTTAATACTTGTGCACCCATTTCTTGTTTTTTTAACCAATTACCATGACATTCATCCCAAGATGATGTATATGTGTAAATACCTCTTTTTGGTATGTTACTGGGTTTATAAAACCAAATATATGCGGCAAATTTTAAACAAGGAATTATGATAGGAAAGGACATAAACAGGAAGTAAAGTGATAATTACAAAACAGTGGAGAAAGGGTGGTATTAAATAAGTTTATGCTTATTCCTACTCCTTTTTTTCAATATGTTAAGCCATGTATTTTTGTATGCTTTTTGCATATATTTTTTAGATATTCGAAATTAAGCCTTAAGCAAGAAAAGCTACGCTACCTATTATTTTACAGTACTACACTATACGTGAATGGCGCTTTATTGGAAACGTTACGTTATCCCCAGTTATAGTTTTACTTTCACTTTAGGACATTACAATTATACTTTATTTCTTATTAAATGTAGCTGGACACCACAATTGTTAAATTATCATATTAACACAGACGACTTCATTCTCATTTTAAAAAACAAACACGATATATATAAAAAACTGCAACAGAGACGAATAGAGAAGGACGGTTACAGCGGTTTAAACATTTCACAGTAACAATGAGCGCAAAAAGCGCTTCTCCATAACAGCACAAACCCTTCGAGTCAATTCAAAGTCTTTGGTTTTGTTGACGTTGCAGGACTTCGTCCAGTTTTGAGGATATGCCAAATACACAAATACCGCAACGTAAACAGTTCCGTACTCGTGATTACAACCTGCATAGCGCACTTCCGGTTTGTCTTATTTCAAAATAAGAGCGTCATGCTTACCATAACAATAGTTTTGTTATGCAGGTATTAAAATATGGTTACACACACACAAACACACACAAACACACAAACAATAAACCACACCCAGCCCCCCACTCTCCCGTTTTCCCCTCACAAAACTAAAATAATTCAATGAAACCGATTAGTATGCAACAACTGGAAATTAATAGTTACAATAGTTCATACAAAACGATTTTTGTTAAAATTACCCCTCATAAGTAGTATAGTCTATTCACATTATGGACATTATTACTATTATACTCACCAAGCTTTCAAATATGTAAAATATGTCGGACATACAAAGATTAAGGAACTCATCACAGACTCTCATGGCCAGCTCTTCCACATAGAACACTTATAATCAGTGTTTCGGTTCACAATTGACCTGCTGTTCAGCTGTGCATAAATGATACCTTTCATGAGTAACTAACACACAACAATAAATATTATGTTCCAGCATAAATCAGTGTTTAAGTATCCAAACCTGCAATTGCACATTATTCCAAAACTGACATTTCAAAAAAGATGCTCTATTTGTCTGTGAAGCTTTTGAGAAAGCTTTGTCTACCTTTCTTTAACATGTGTTACAGGCTGTTTTGGGTTCACATCTGACCTGCTGTTCAACAATTTGAAGAAGAAATTGAAAGTTTACACACAGAAAAATACCACTACTGAATGAAACAACACAGCTGTATAGAAGAAGTGTATCAATCTCACTTTTGGTATTATGTCAAGAAAAAGGAACTGCCTATTTAGAAACTATTTAAAACCAAATGCTAAATCACGCACTTCTTTTTATGAGTCTTCTCTTAGTCATCCTTCCTTTTTGCAAACAATGTTATGGTTAAAATGATGCCCAGTGCTAACAGCGTATTGTGTGCACACTGTGGGAAACACAGCACATCTCAATCTGTGGTTTTTATTTCTCATCTTCCCCTCCCACTGATCTTCTGCATTCCTCACCAGTCATAGATATTCACATCAAGTGCCCCACCCATGTCAGATTCATATTTATTTATTTTATCACACTTTACTACCACTTTTATGCTATTAACTTATGTGCATGGCTCTACTTTCTATTCCTGCTTCTTTTCTACTACAGCCATCTTCTGTATACATAAAAAAAACCAACCTTTTGTGCATCCACATGTTCTCCTTTTGTTTCTGAAGATCTTTAAAAACATCTGACCATATGACTCATTTCACATGCTGCTGACCAGGTTTGATATTGCAAACCTTTTTCTCACTTTTGCCTGCCTTTGTAAAAGGATGTTTGTTGAGACTTGATGGAAATGCTTTGCTCTACATTTCAGATCAGCTGAACAAAAGCAACAAATAATAGCTTTTACCTGCAGCTGAATGTTCACTTTTTGGTTTTGTCTCACACAATAAAAACAAAATGCAAATCTGTGAGAACACGTGGGCTTCAAAATGATGCCCAGATGGTGCTTAATTAGCAAATAAACACAAAGATCGTGACCTTGAAGAAGTTAGATGAAAAGGTGAATAAACAGGCAGATTTTAAGAGCACACATAATGTTAAACCTGTCGTGTTGATGTGTGTATATGGGGGGTGGGGGGGCAGTATTGTTGAGAGACAGAGAAAAAACAGCCACTGCATTAAAGCCACAACTTTTATTCATTAGTGAACCTCATGAGATACACCAGCAACAAAGTTCTCTATTGCTCATCTTGGTAAGTTGATAATTGGCTGGTCCTCATACCTGTGTAGTTTATTTCTAAGAACCAGAATTTCAGTCAGCTTCGATAAAAAATACAACTGCAACATGTCTCCAATAAACTTTCTGTACTTTTATAATTTTTAGAAGCATTCATAAAGAAAAAGGACTTTTTTTTAAAAAAGATGCTAGAAAATCTTTTAAAGAAATTGACAATAATCTAAAGCTCATCAAATGCACCAAGATACAAATGGGCATATAAAACTCAAGCTGAAGGCATAAAGAGGCTTCAACCACCAGTAAATACTGTACAATCCCAATAATGACGGACATATTTACCTACATTGTAGTCTAATTAAGTATAAATTATTACATGAAAATCATCTCTTTTATATATAATGCATGTAGATGATAGAAGAGAAAAGTTATTTTGTCTTTGCCAACAAGTGCTAACCTGTGGTATTAACCCTCTGGGTTTGTTTTTGTTTCACACAGAAGTTGTTCAACCACACTGGCATAGTAGATTTTAACTCCAAACTTGCAGTTCTGTACAGCTCACAGTTCAAAGTATGAAACTAATACTTCAACCGCACTGCAAAGCAAAGGATATAATATAACATGAGGCACTGAAGACTCAACAAATGTCACGTTATCAACAAAGAGTCACCGAGGTGGGTTAATGACTACATCTTCCTGTTTATTCTATGCACAGTGAATAGGTAGCTTGCAAATGCATTCAAATGTACTACTTGCTTTAAAATATTCATTTTTATTATGACAAACAGTAAGCATGTTCTTTGAACCATTACAGGCAGTAGGTAGCTGGTTAAAAAGCCATAAAAAGGCAAATTCCTAATAGGTTTATGAAAAGGGTCTACACACTTATGTGCTGTCGAAAGGGAATAGAACCCTGTTGTCGTTATCTGCTTTGTGCATCTTCATTGGAGCCATAAAACATGCTATGCTGCTCTTGTTGCTTGAGGTAAAGTCTGAAAATCAGGAAATACATGTGTCAAACAAAGCACGTTTACGCTTAAAAGAAACAGATTAGAGTTAAACAGACACAATTAACAACTCTCTAACCCTGCTAAGTTGATAAACTCTAAAGTGTAAAAGAGCAGTAAATGCTCTCACTGGCCTTTAAACCTTGAACCAACTATTATAGCTGTATAGAGGACAGCGAGAAAGGAATGCGCTTTGGCTGTTGTCAGAAAACCTTGATCGCTTCTATGGTTTCTGAATTATAGTCATTAGCTTTGACTCCACCTGTCCACACGCTTGCAGCACTCAGTCACCAAAACCCCCCCAAAAGTCCTGAACATATTACATGTGTTCTAAAGATGCCTGAGAGAGTTTTTATAAGGCTGCCACACTGTATGAAGTCAAAGACAAATTGCTTAAAAATGGCTTACAGAAATATAATCTCTAAACATAAAAAAAGAACTACCACAAATTATTATTATTTTTTTTTACAAACAACAAAGCGTATCTATATTTGGTCAGTTCTGTAAGTGCCTGTGTGACAACAACAAATGTTTGTACCTGCAAAGTAACAAAATCTCTCAATGCAATACTGGGCAGCATATGAAAATGTTCATTCATGTAACCCCCCTCCCCCGCCCCGCACAAAAACCAAAACAAATCAAAGAAAGCATACAGAAAGTAAAAAGAAGCAGGCAGTTTTTAACACAGAAAAAACAAAACACAAAAACACAATCTGACCTCAGAGGACAGAAAAAAAAAGTGTCAACTTTTTAAGGTCCATCTTAATACTATTCTTATACAGAATATAGTACCAGGCTGAACTGGGCTGGTTCAGCGTACATCCATCCAAAGGAGCAATCAATTTCTGGGTCACACAGAATCAGCTCTTGTCCAGCGTAGTTCATCTTAGGTCTAAAGGCACAGCGTCGGACCGTTTCACACTGACGACTCGCCAACACTACAATGATCCACTTCAGGATTTCATTCTTAAAACTTTGAATGGGTATTTACTCCTTCCTTAGCATGGGATGACAGGAAAGCATTTTAACAGTTTGACTTTATTTTATTATGACCCCTTTGTCACAAACACTGAACATTAAGTAGAAAGATAAAGTGGCAGCGGATGAAGTTGGGAATGGCGAAGAAAAAGAAAAAAAGACAGAACAAAGAAGCAGCACTGGAGAGGAGCAGAGGTGTCTACTTCAAACTTCATCAAGAAGAATCATCTTCAGCTGGTTATAGATCCATTTGAGTCTTAATAGGCAGGAGCCAAAATCCACCCTGCTTTGTTCTTATTAGTCAGTTCAGGCGTAGAACTCCTTGGTGGGTGCTTTGTGATACGCAGTTGCAGAAAGTTTGTTATCTCCCAGGTCATAGCTACCTTCATCCTTCTTCTTCATGCGGTAGGCAAGGAGAGACAAGAGGGAAACAGCACAGAGAAATCCAATGACTCCGCACACTATCACAGCTGGAGACGGAAAAAAGAAATACGAAATTATTTTTAAAAAATAACATTTTTATAACAGTTATCTATACTTAACATTTCAGATTCTTCAACAGAAGTCTAAATTTTCTTGAAAACTCACTACTGTAATTTTGTAATGAACTGGTAAGACAGTAGAAACCTAGTCCTTACCTGCTAGCACCTCTTTTCTCTCCAGCAGGTTCTCAGAGGATACCTCCATAGAGTTCTCACCAAATAATCCTTCTCGATCAGCTTTGTTAAGAGTTTCATCAGACTTTTTGATAGGCTCTTCATATTGGGGATTTAACACATCCAGGCGTCTCTCCTTGCCAGAATTGATTACACCATCAGCTCTAGTACTGCCACTGGGAGGCACATTGGTGGTGCTGGGACTAGCATCCTTTCCAAACCAGTCAGCTGTTGGGCCAACACCAAGCCCCTATAAGGATATTAGCACAGTTTAAAAAAAATGCTGAGACATTATGTGGCTTTAGATACTTTCCATTTACCACTATTCACACCTTAAAGCGGTAGCAAATAAATCACAATTAGTTTCTCTGCTCCAAAATTAATCAACCTTAATATTTACTCTCACTATCACCAATTGAAATTAAAAGAATAAATATCCTTGTGTGTGCGATGAATCATCCTGAAGATGGACATAAGTCAGACTTCATGAGGACATGAATCAAAAGGAACAGTCATACTTTACCTTGTCTCCATCAGGGAAAATGTCAGTCTCCTTCGCTGTAGTTGCTGGATCGTGGCTGCGTGCCACTGTGGTTGGTGGGTTGTGCGGAGAGTGTACTGTAGGCTGTGGTTGACGCTGCTCTGTTTTGCTAGAGGGGCTAGGCAACGTCAGGACCATATCCCCGGCATCTGAATGGGCACGGGAACCTGAGAAATCACCAACACAAAACACTTCAGAGCATGTCTCTTTTCATTATTATAGAATAGTTGTTTTGTTTTTTTTTAATCTATTGGATTAACTGAAGGAATAGGACCGTTTTTCTTGGATAACGAGTTGACATCTGAGGTTACTTGGTTTTACAGCAGAGTCTGCCACAAATGTGGAAACAGTTCCTACTGCAAGTTTTATAACTTACTGAAATTCACCTGAACGTAATGCAGTTTTATATCACGCTGAATGTGCCACGACATCACTCACTACAGTTTACGCAGGTGAGTCATTCAAAGTCTGTGAGTTTCCAATAAAATGTCACCTGGTTCCACTGTATCACCTCAGGACAAACATCTGGTATATTGTAAGTGCATCTGTGTCTGAACATACAAGCACTCGTGGCTTACTTGTGTATTACTCACAAGCCTGCATGTATGATTGAGTGGAGTTAAATAATGTCTAATAATCTGTGATGAAGTTTCTATTTAATAAGCAATACAGGGAAAATATACATATAGATATATTATACACACACACACACACACACACACACACACACACACACACACACACACACACACACACACACACACACACACACCCTTACCATAATCTCCAGATCCAGAGCCTGACCCACCATCATCACCATCTTCATCATCTATAGGGAGGTCACCAGATGTTCGGCCCTCTATGTATAAGTCATCACTTGGGCTAAATGACTGGGAGAAGACAAAGAGCTGCCAAAAAGAGGGGGGGATAAAAACATGCAATTTTATTTAAGTAGGAGAGAAACGCACACATAGATTCACACAGAATTCCTTTCACTAATTGACAACATGTGGATCTCGCTACAGTTCTGGAGTAAGACAATACCTCTCACAACCAATGATGTATGCTGGCCAAATATGCAGCAGTGCATGCTGCTTTCTGAGAGTATTACATCCATACTATAGTATGTGCAGTAGATAAAGGCTGTTTTCTTGATCATTTCACATGCTGTGGCAGTAATTTGTGATACTTTGCAGAACCACGCAGCAGAGAACTAAGTGTCTTTGAAAGGAGGAGGGATGAGATAAAGCAGCTTCAAAGACAACACAGAGAGCAGGCAAGTAGACGCACACATGGAAAGGGCCGCTTCACATATTAGATTGCACCTCGTGAAATCCTTCCGCCAACCCGAATGCTACACAGAGGAGTGTGATGAAAACCAGTGACCTTCTTTTCCCTTGATCTAAGGCCTAGGCAGACAGAAGGTAATGAGACGAGTGGCTCAAACACAACCGGAGATCACATGAATCAAAGAAAGACACTAACTGTGCTGAAATCGATAAAGAGCCAAAGAAAAAGAAGCTCAAACATATGCTGGTGTTAAGAGAGGGAGAGACACTCACACACAGAGACATGGATGAATATGGCCCATTGAGACCTGAAATATGTCTGGTATGTATACTATGCTTCCACTAACACAGGTGTTGAGAGAGGGTGAAAATAGGGAGAAAGGAAAGGAAGCACAGTTTAGTGTACTTCTCATAAGATAACTGCTCCAGAAAAAGGTTTTACTCCAATAAAAATTCACAAAATATGTTGTCAAAGCAACAGTTCTTTTCAAGTTAACACCATTTTTCTTTTGCTAACAAACCTTTTTATCAGTATGCAATAATGCAAACAGCCCACAGAAGGGATAC